AGCGGTATATAAATCTAACTGCTATTGCTATTGCTATTCTGTTCTATTCTGTTCTATTCTGTTCTATTCTATTCTATTCTATTCTATTCTATTCTATTCTAATCTATTCAGAGCAGGACTGCACCTTGGAGACCTCAAGATAGTATCTTCTGAAAGGTAGTTTCTCTAAGTGTTTCTTTTCTATTGATAAACTGGTTACATACTGATCCATATATTTACTTTCACTAGCAATGGAATCAGTTTTCTTCCAAACAGGAAGAGTTCAATCAGATGATTGCTTAAAAGATAGCCCTTTACATTTACTTTTTCTGATGCTGCTTTCCCACAGAAGCTATTCCTAACAAAACCTTCAGTTTTGCCTACACATGCGAAAGATCACAACACTTCACTCATTACCTTACCAATTTTGACCCTTCCCTACTTCTTGTTATTTTCACAACAAAGTCACAATTTGCTCACTGTGTTTTGTGATCAAGAGAGTATTTGGGTTTCCAGAGTTGTTCCCCCCAAAACCCTATTATATCTGCCTGACAACATTATGTTGCCATGGTCATCTTGCAATCCTTATTATAATAACCTTCAATCTTTTGGTTTTTGGTACAGTTTTCTGCTGGTGTTGAATTACATTGGAATCAATATGGCATCTTTGAATTCCTGCATCAACCCAATTGCTCTCTATTTGGTGAGCAAAAGATTCAAAAACTGCTTTAAGGTAAGATTTATTTATTAAATCTTACCCTGTTTCCCTGAAAATAAGGACCCCCCCCCAGATAATACTCCCAATTGGGCTTTCTACTGCAAACCCTAGCTTCCTTCTCTTAGTGGTGGCCACACAAAAAAATGGCAGGCCCAACGACGCTAGGGCTGGCAAGAGTGTGCCAGAAACAGAAACAGAACTTCCGGGCCTCTGTGGATCAGCTGATCCGCGGGCCGAGGTTAAGGGGCCTCCTGCACCTCAATAATAAGACCTCCCCGAAAATATGGACAAGCGCTTATTTCAGGGGTCAAAAGGGAACAAGAGCCCATAGTATTACAAAGGAAGCTGAATGGCATCAGATGAAACCTCTTGCTGAAGAAATTAAATTCTGTTTTTTAAAAATGCCCATTTTTCAGTCATAAGTAATCACAGTAACTAAAAGCAAAAACTTTATTTCAGAAGAAATGTTCTTTGCAATTGGGCAATCTAGAGAAGTGAATCATTCACCAGAGTGTAACAATGAATCATAGAGGGCAGCTTAGGGAAAAGTTGCTGTTCCATAGATAATAACTGAGAAGCTTCCTTAGAGCAGCAGAATTCACATGTATGTCCAATGTTTCCAATACCCATTGAAACTTTAAATTTTCTTATAAGTTCATTCATAGTCCAAGGAAAGTCCTAGATTTGCAGGACATTGTCCACAATATTGAAATAAGGATGAAATGGATAGAGTATTTTGTCCTATAGATTGATAATGAGATTTATTATTTTAACTGGAATCTGGGATAATTGAGTTTTGTGATTTCCTTGCCTAATGGATAAAGTTTGGCACAAAGATAAGAGTTGGCTGTGGGTAAGCCAAAGGAAATTGAAGTATTCAATTCAGGAAGTAGTTTTCTGTAAAGGAGGTAGAGATTGCTAAGAATGAACTTATTTATATCTACAGTAAATAGAAAACTAAAATATCCAGAGTTTCTTTGAATGAAGCTGGAAAAGAATGAAAGATAAATAAGAATAATTTCCTCTCATTCCTATTGGATTACCCCAAGTTTAAAATAGAATAAAGCAAAAGGAATTTATCAAATCTACAATTTCCTTGTTGTTGCTATTTATCTGGAACTTTATTACAGGGTTGAATATGAAAAAATGATGCTCTCTAGTCTTTTCCTAACTGAATAATGTCAACATTTAGAAGCTCAGTCATATTTATAATGCCTTTCTGTGTAGAAATAATGCTTTGGATCATATCCAGTCATTGCAGGGAGAAGTCTAAATGCAAACCTTTTTGATTATGAGTCTGTTTGTATGGAAAATACAAAAGTGTTTTATAAAAAGGGCAGACACAGGGTGCAGTCAAAACCTCTGAAAACAGTTTTTCTCAATACACTATAAATATATAGTATAAGATTTTGTTCTTTTTAGGGCAATACTTTATTATTTTGATGAATGTTATTAAACTTAAAGTAAGGTTCTATATTTAAGCAAGAAAAAACAAAATGCACAGGTACAGTATATGTGGTACCTTGCTCAATAATAGTAACTGTAAAATCCTAGTGAACAACCAATTAAATATAAGCCAGCAGTGTGCAGCAGATGCCAAAAAAGTCGACACAGTTCTAGGCTGCATAAACAGAGGGATAGAATCAAGATCCCGTGAAGTGTTAATACCACTTTATAATGCCTTGGTAAGGCCACACTTGAAAGGCTGCATTCAGTTTTGGTCACCATGATGTAAAAAAGATGTGGCGACTCTAGATAGAGTGCAGAGAAGAGCAACAGAAATGGATTAGGGGACTGGAGGCTAAAACATATGAAGAACGGTTGCAGGAACTGTATATGTCTAGTTTAATGAAAAAAGGAATAGGGAAGACATGATAGCAGTGTTCCAATATCTCAGGAGTTGCCACAAAGAAGGGAGTCAAACTATTCTCCAAAGCACCTGAGGGTAGAACAAGTGCAATGGGTGGAAACTAATCAAGGAGAGAAGCAACTTAGAACTAAGGAAATATTTCCTGACAGTTAGAACAATTACTGTATTTTTCGGAGTATAAGATGCACCTTTTTCTCCCCCAAAAGAGGCTGAAAATCTGGGTGTGTCTTATACACTGAATACAGCATTTGTTTGCCTGTTTTCCGCTCAATTTCCACCCCCCCAGCCCCCAGGTGCACTCTATAAGCCTCCTAAAGGCTATGCATGCCCCCCTTTTTTTGAGAAAAAAACGGGCCTGTTTTTGCGAAAAACAGGCCGTTTTTGGGAGGTCTGCAGAGTGCAAAGACTTTTTTTTTAAAAAAAATTGCCTCTTTAAAATCTTGGTGCATCTTATACTCTGAAAAATACAGTAGGTCAGGCTATCTGTGTTAAGGGGTGTGAGAAAGTGAAAAACCCTCATGAGAGCTCAGAAAGAAATGCCTCTTGCCTGTCAGGACAGTTGCTGTTCAAAGTTTAAACTTTAAAGTTAAAGTTTAAACGTAGCTGCAAAAAGATTCTGGAAAGCATATGTATCCTCTCCGCTCTTTCACAATCAAATGGTCGTGAAGATTTTTGTAGCTGAACAGATGGATTTTTTTTTAATTGCTTGCTTACTTGCTTGACTTCCTTGGAATTTTCAGGCTCTGATTTCTGTGAAAGAACCGGCAATAATGGTTCTGTATTTTAGAGCAGGCGTTCATTAACCCCCCGATCCGTGGAATTGCACGGGTCCGTGGCATGCCAGCAACCGGGTTGTGCAAACAAGCAAAGCCCCTTCTGTGGGATGAAAGCAGAATGCGAAACCACACCCCCTCCAGTTTGCATAAAAACCTCTCTTCATGGAACCTGTCCCTGGGGCCCAAAAAGTTGGGGGCCACTATCTTAGAGAGCTGGGAAAATGTATAAATGCACATCAGTGGTGGGTTCCTCTCCCTGTCACTACTGGTATGCTGCTCACGGGGCTGCGTGTCCTGTTCGTGCACGCGCGCTGCGCACACATGCGCACTCTACTGCCCCTGCGACACCCAGCTGTTTGTCGAAGCTCGCACAGGTGCAATTGGTCAGTTGCTTTAAAAACAGGTATAGAACGCGGGTGAGCGGGTGGGCCAAATGAGCCACCGTACTGGTATGCTGTCAGTTGTTCCCGGCTACTACTGGTATGGCCGTACCGGGCCATACCGGGCCATACCAGTTGGAACCTACCACTGATGCATATATAAACAGCCTTTCTAATGGAGAATTCTTCTGCTTTACAGTCATGCCTTTGTTGCTGGTGTCATTCCAAAGACATGCTATCCCTGGAGGAGAAACAGTCCTGCTTAAAGTTCAGAGCAAATGACCACGGATATGACAATTTCCGCTCCAGTAACAAGTACAGCTCATCTTAAGGAAGAAAACTTGGACTCAGACTACTGTGAGATATTGCCAGGCTGTAAAGACGAGGACAGTTAAGCTGAAGACAACAGATTCTGCATCGTAGAGGAAATTGAGCTATCTGGGAAGGAAGTTTGATATTTTCACAGAAATCTAAATATTTACTGAGCACACGAACATCTTAACCATGCCCAGTGTTCCTAATCATTTGAGTCAATGTTACTGGGGGTTTGGGGAGGAACTACAGTTGTTTAAGCACTTAAATACTTCAAAACAGTCATTGCCAAATCATTCATGAATCCTGTACATGAAATAATTGTTTTCACCAAGGAGCCCAATTAATAATTCTTAATATAGAATTATATGATGATTATGTTTTGGGCAATACCAACCCATCTCTATTATTTTTTTAAAAAAGTTTTACTTGCCTGTAAAATTCATAGGTAAGTATATAAGTGTAAAATTTCATTCCACCTGAAATGTGTAGGTTGTAGCACGGTGCATCCAGGACATGGATCATGCTGGTATAAAATAGAATCAGTAAGAATTTTTCCCATAGCGGTGAAGGAACTTAAAGAGTCACAATCAGTCCTAAAGCAATTTAGATTTTTTTTTTACAGTAAACTTTTCATCTGGAGTGATAAATGAACTTTTTAAAGGCTGGAAAAATGGCCCTCAGCCATTAATATCTGGGTTGCCTCCAGCTCTACTTAAGGTTTTAGGGATAATCTTGCACTGCTTGAGATCCCCAATGGTGTACATGGCCCTTCTGGAAGTCATCAGAGGATTGGCTTCTAGGCCCTACTTTAAACAAGCAGCACTCTTTGGCATGATGTGGCACAAGCTGTGGAGGACCAAGCAATGCAAAAACAGGCAGCATTAGTATGGCATGAGTGCAACACATGATACCAACTTTAGAATTAATATAGTGCAGTGGTTCCCAAACTTGGCAACTTTAAGACTTGTGGACTTCAACTCCCAGCTGGCTGGAGAATTCTGGGAGTTGAAGTCCACAAGTCTTAAAGTTGCCAAGTTTGGGAACCACTGATATAGTGTAATTACCAGGCTTCTATTTGGTTCTTTCTGGGGAAAAATATTTCTAGATCTTATAGTAAATATGTGCATAAAGTTCCAGAAGTAGGAAAGGCAATAGAACAAGTTTTCAGTCCTCTGCCAACTTACATTGTCCTTTCCCAGTGCTGGTCAAACTGATCTAACTCTGCAAAATAATAATGTAAAATGAAAACAATTGTGCAAACATGCTTAATTTATGCAAAATAGGGATTTTTTCTTTCTCATCACATTTAAACAGCAGGCACACAGAATTTCATTCTCACTCCCCCCCCCTTTTTTTTTTAACCAAGTAGCGTTACTGAGATTTCAAATCTTTGTTTCCTGGACACAGAAAAATACGTAGCTCTCTTTCTGTAGATTTTTAACAATACATTGCTGTTGCTATGACAGACCAAGCACATCTGTGACAGGAATTAACTACCATCAGTATTAGTCTGAGTTATATGTGGAAACATGGACGGACTTGCATCCAAAAGGAAGGCAGGGATTCTCCTCTATTATTTCTTCCTCTTCTTCCTCTAAATCTGTCTTGAAATGGCAATAAGAAATTCCCTATCTTTTTTGGTCCTCCTGATCTTTTAAACTGGCTATAGATCTGGTAGCATCCCTCATTTTTCCTCATGGGACATTTAATTGCATCTGTGTAAATATTCCATTAAGCCATAATGAAGGGCTATAATAATAAACAGTTAAAATCTGGGCTGGCCCCAATATTGATACCATTCGTTAGTCGGAGAGAGAAATACTGTGGTATTCTGCTCCACAAATAGTGGGGTTTTTCGTGTTGATACTGCTAGTTAACACAGACATAAACTTAGTATCAGTATTAAATAATATTGTTTTAAGTTATCAAAGAGGCTGTATATAACCACTCCAACTTCTTGTCCTGGAGTCCAGAAAGTCTAGAAGAGAATAGATTATTGAAGGCTTCCCTAAAACGTCTTCAGGTTAACATTGTGGCAGGATCCACTATCATTAATGAATCCAGGGGTGTGACTGAAAAATGTTAGCAACCAGTTATCTGCCTGGTTGCTGGGTGGGCGGGGCTATGGTGGGTGGGGCCTACTCGCCCTCCTGCATCATGGGGGGGGGTTTCACCCTCCCCAGCCTCCGAAGGCTTTCCTTGAGCCCTCAAGAAGGGTGAAAACGACCTCCCCCAGGTTCCATAGGCCGGAAATGGGCCATTTCCAGACTTCTGGGAGGCCCGTTTTTTGCCCTCCCAGAGCCTCCGGGTGGCCCCTGCACTTGCCTGGCATGATGAACAGGCTGCATGGAGACTCCTGGGAGGAGAGGGGCGGTGTGGGCAGGGCCAGCCAGTCCTTAAAATAACTGGTTTGGCGAACTTGATGCAAAATTAACATCTGGTTCTCCCGAACCGGTACGAACTGGCTGAATCCCACCCCTGAATGAACCTGGTAGAGTGAAGTATCACTCGGAGGATTATATTTGGAGTCTCCGTAAGGATATCCAATTCTTTCTTTCATGAAGAAACAAAAGATTATGACTTTCTATTCAGACACAAAATGTCTTGGACACATTTCATGCTTTGCATGGAAAAGTGAAAATAGAACAATTATTTTTTTGTTTTTTTAAATGCATTTGCTCATACCTCAGGCTTTGAGATTAGATACCTATGTTGTAGATTTACTTCTAAATAAACAAACATAGATTTGCATTATGAAGGAAAGTTCACCTGGAGTTTCTCCCTATATCAAGAGATACTCCTAAAACTGACCTTTTCCTGCAAGGGGTTATTACATTGTTATAGCATCAGCCACTTCACTTGACTCCATTACAAGTTTATTGTCTTCTGTTTACAGACAACTATTATTTTTAAAAGTTCTGTTTTATATATTAATTCATAGGTGCACAACCTTCGACCCTCTCACTGTTTTACTCTACTAAATCCTTGATCCAAGTCTTAACTAATCAAATTATCTAATAAGTGATTATATAGTAAGAGTTTTAGTTTTGATCAGAAATGTTACATGAAATGGTTAAAGCTAAAAATAAATGGGCAAAGTTCTTAGATGTCATTTAGGCAACATGAAGTCATGTTCTCAAACTTTTGAGATGAAAGTATTTATATAGGCAGTAAAGTTGGTGTTGATCCTGTGCTTAACACTAATTGTTCAGTACTTTTAATTTCCATTAATCTGTTCAGTATTACTGCTATTGATTATAGCATTTACAGTACTGCACACATATCATTGTAATTCTTTTTATAATATAGATTGTATTACTGAGCTGCATTTTTACATTGTATTGCTGTATTTTTACAATGCACTATGTTATGGTTCAAATCTGTTAAAAAAATTGTGTAGAAAACAGTTTTTGTAGTTTGTAACTTTTGATTATCCAGTGCAGAGGTTTTACACATTTCCTTTTATGTAAGAATTTGGCTAAATATGAAATAGAATTTAGTTAGGTTTATCTAGCAGAACCAGAGGATTTGTGCTCCCTAATTTTAGCCACTTCTTCATACTAAATATATATGTATATATTTCATTTTTTCCAATATTTTAATAGCATATGTCTTTACTTTTTCTATCACGAAAACTTTGTAGTAATCTGAAGTATGAGATTCAGATAAAAATAGAAAGTGTGTGTAGAAATTGGAATTTCTAGATTTTTTAGTTTTTTTATCCTGTCTTATTTTTATAAATAAACTAGATGATCTATAATTCTTTTTTTTTAAAAAGAAACATTTTATGTAGAGTTTCTCCTTTCCGTGCAACTGCACCCCTAGTTGTACAATGTCCAACTGCTGTAGATAGGGAAGGGATCCAATCTGTGAGGGAAGAAATTAAATTTTTTACTTCCGCATCTACATTTTAGCTTCTATAATTACTAACTTCATTATTCAGTGTAACAGATTCAGTGACAATATCTTCAGTTAAATCAAATGAGAGGAATCATATAAAGATGAGTAGCTCCAGACTATCCAAAATTATTTTTTAAAAATTGCTGAGTTGTTCTTTTTTATAGTATTCCCTGTAACATTGTTTGAACCTTTTGACATCTCATAGGCAAACTTCCTTCTTGATGAACTTTAGAAAAATTACCAGTGTGCATCAATGGAGGAAAAATATCCATAAAGAATTTGACAAGGATACAGCTGATTGTTGATACAAACATTGGTTTAACATGTTAAACAGATGTTAAATCTTTTTGCAGGCCATGAAGTAACTCCCATCTCAAATATTTTGGGCCATTTATGACAAATAGGGAGAAGAACCACTGCTGATTCCAAGTGTGACAACTTAGCAATCAATAGGGATAGCACATCTGGATTTCAACTACCCAGACAACCATTCTATAACAGAAGAGTTTTTTAATCTCTTTTTTTGCCTCTTACTCAAAAAGCTTCAGCTCAAATATATAATGTGTAGCATGAAAATATTGTTACATATTTTTATGGAGATTCTCAGTCATCCAGGTCATAGTTGTCCCAAAGGTGCTTTTTCAAGAGGCAACTGGACTTTCTGGTTTTATTTTGAAAATGTTTCGCTTCTAGTCGGAGCTGAAGAAGCTTTTTGGATAAGAAGTGAAACGTCTTCAAAGAAAAAAACAGAAAGTCTAGTTGACTCTTTAAAAAGCACTTTTGGGACAATATTGTTAAGTACCATATTTTTCAGACTATATGATGCTCCGGACTATAAAACGCACCAAGCTTTTGAAGAGGAAAACAAGAAAAAAAAATCTGCCTCTGCCTTCCAGCAATTTGCCTCCTTGCAGTAAACAGCAAACAGCCTGGTTAGCTTCAGCACAGCCCGATTTAGCACGAGCAGCTGATTGACGGTTGGATCTGCCTCCCGGAATGCCGCCTATCAGCTGTTCCAGGCTGTGGGGATCACCACCTCCCAACACCGCCGCCCATCGCGGCTGTTGCCTGCCTCTGTGTGTCCCATTTTCAGCCACTGCACATGCCATTTTTGCCCTCCACATGCCCAATTTTTGCCCCGCCTATCCTTGCCTGGAATGGGCTGAAAATGGGGTGTGCAGAAGCAATAGGTGGCAGCTGCTCATGCTAAATTAGGCTGTGCTGAAGTTGACTAGGCTGTTTGCTGCAAGGAGGCAAATTGCTGAGGCAGAGGCTGAAGGGTGGGAGCTGGTTGCTGGGCGGGGCTTTGCCAACATTCACTCTAAGACGCAGAGATGTTTCCACCCACTTTGGGGCGGGGGGGAAGTGTGTCTTATACACCAAAAAATATGGTAGTTATTGCAGTGCTGAGGAATTGCCACATATGGTTTTATCTTAAATTACTTGAAACATAACTGAACTGGAGCAACTGAGTTGGAGAAAAAGCTGATGCAGGGCTGCTGCTGCTGGGTATAACAACTAAGGATTCAAGATTTTCAAGGAACTGGGATTATGTAGTTTTCATCCGGCTTCTCTCTGGAGTTTTAACCCCAAATTAATAGGCAGAAAGAAAACATGAGATAGTTCAATCACTCACAAACTTCCTGTCGAGACAATCTGCTGGCTTTCCTTTCCTCACTTGAGTTTGGGGAGGTATGTTTGCTGATATTGTCTTCTCCAAGATAATGTCTGTTTCTTGCAGCAGCTTCAAGCATTTTGCATATGAATATGCAGTCAAGGAGAAGGGAAAGGCTTATATCAGGAATGTTGATTCAGGAGTCTGTTCTTGCTATCTGGTCTTTGCAATCTGGCCTAAACATCAGTCATTAAGGATGAGACATCTTCATTCCCTTTAAAAGCAAACAGGAAACTCAGCACACAGGCATCAAACTCAAATTTCTATTCCCTGTCATTTCCTTTCTCTAGATGAGCAGAATTTCTCAGATGTCTCCTCCCTCACTTTACTAGGAAAGTGGGATCAAAACTAT